GCAGGAGAGGAAGGCCCTCTATGAGGTGGATTGATTCATTGACTGGGATAATTGGGATGGGAGTGTCAGAGACAGTGCAATTGGCACAGGACAGAGCGGAGTTTAGGACTGTTGTACCTAGGGTCGCTATGAGTCGCAGGCGACTCGACGGCACATCACAACACAACAACATAAAATTAATAGAAAAGAGCTCACAGAGAATCTATTAATTAATAAGTTACAAGGATTCATAAACATTTCGGAAATCTTGGAGAATTCTTTCATTCTTTCCAGTATCTATTCAGCTATTACAGTAAAGAAGGAAACTGTAATATTGTGTTTGTTCATTAGCCAGGCGAGGTGATCAGATAAAAATAATTGTGCTTATTGTTACACAGACTGTGGTAGGTAGTCTGAATACATTGTGTGAGGTATTTTTTAAAAAAGTTTCAACTATAAAAAGAATTTACAATCTGAAGAAAACCACTGAAATAGAAGTGTACATTTTAGCATAGTCTGCTCTTATAAAAGAAATCCATTCCTTTAAGTACTATTTATTGAACTTTATGTTACACCATTGTGCTAAGCTCCGGAGATTAAAAAGTGAACAAGAAATAGGTCACTATCCTCAATGAGCTCAGCCTAATAGTAGAGGTAAGATTTTCTGCTATTTACCTATTGTACAGTGTTTCTATAAATCTACCATTTACAGAAACACAGTATAAAGCAAAAATGTGATAAAAAGCTACAGAATATCAGAGCTGAAGGAATCAGGGGCTCTGATGACATAGAGAGTCACTCAGTTAACCCAAAGCATCAACCTTCCTGGCAGTTTCAACCGGCTCTGAAGAAGAAAGATGGACAATCTCTTGTACAACTTGGAATACTGGAAATTCTATGGAGAGTCAGTTAGTTGTGCCAAGAAATCCGGAGGACAACCATCTGGCCAATTGACTGGAAGAGATCTATATGTTCCTATTTCAAAGAAAGATGATCTGACAGAGTATGGAAATTATTGAAGAATATAATTAATATCACATGCAAGCAAGGTTCTGCTGAAGATTACCCAAAAATGACTGGAACATCACAACAGAAATGCTGCCTGGTTTTGAAGGGGTTGTGGCATCAGGAATATTGTAGCTAATGTTAGATGG